CCGCTATGGGAAAGCTTGTTGCAGCACAGAGTAATATTTTTACCTTGGAATGTAGTTACAAAATTACCATGTTTTTTAAAAGCTTTATAATCCATTGTATATAATACGGCTAGCGAAAAGATAATAGTGTTTGGGCGATTACGAGAAAAAAAATCGCGCATCAGGTGAAGGATTAGTGAGGGGACATTCTTAAGAACCGTCAATGTAAAGTGCATTTATACCCGGAAGGCTGCCGTTTCGTTGGAACGGAGATACAGGCAATGGCCTTCACGTCGACTTGCTGGCTTAAACTCCAGCGTATCATATCCAGTATAGACTCAGCCGAAGTCAAGACACGTCTATGCTTTCCGACTGTTCTCCGATGTGCCAAGTGTGGAAAACGAGTGGCATAAGACAGACGAGAGTGAAAAGATATGACAAGGAGGGAAGCTTGTTTTGTGATCCGAAGCCTATTTGTTAGGGCTTACTGCTCCGTTCATTCGAGTGGGGTAGCTCATGCACAGGCAACATGGAATACAAAAGAACCAGAGTAGGCGAGAGAAGGAATCATCCTATAGACCGTGGCTGAAACTCGACATTGCTGAACAGAGTAAGTAGGTAATGCTTACGATCGCGCCTGCCGCTCCTTGGTGAATCCCCCTAAGAGATGTTCAAGCAATTGGCTTGTCTCTCATGACTGAGAATTATGGGAGTGACTTCCTGTCAATTTTGGAACCAGCACGGAACAGCGGTTCGCAACGTGTGCCAGAGAGAAACAACGAAAACCGTGGTCGGCAGCCCGTGCCGGGCATGAACCCGGGCCACCCGAACTGCGAAGTCGCGCGTGAGGCCCTGAGCCCTCATCGCGATCGGTATCTGGTGTAGTTATATGGTAGCAAAACGGACGTTGTCACTGAAGCCACCGGTGCGGCCAGTATTTTTTCGGGTCATTTGTCGCATGAGGGGTGCGAATAGTAGAAGAGCATCTGTATTGGGGGTCGATCTCTCGTGAGGCTCGCTGTCGCTGGGGGCCCGAGCGAGGGGCTGGTGAGAGGATGGGGGTTGGGGGCGGGGCGCGGGGCGCAGCGTCAGGTGCAGCAGCGGCGGGCGGAGAAAGCGGCCGCCGCGCACGGCCTTCTCGCTTTCGATGCTAAAAAAAATCAATTGGCGGCGGAGGCAGCCGCGGCGGCCCAGGGGCGGAGCGGGGCGGGGCAGGGCGCGGGGCGGGGGCTGAAGACGGCGGCGTCCGGGGCAGTGCGGGCCGCCCGGGCGGCGGAGGCGGAAGAGAGAGGACCGGCGACGACCCCACGAAGCGGGAAGGGGCGGAGCGAAGCGGGGCCGGGCCGGACGTCCGGACGCAGTTACAGCCTCCGCCGCTCCTACCGCCTCCCCCCCGCACGTCGTAACTCTCGGCGTCGCCGCGGCCGCCCGCCCCGCCCTCCCCGCGCCCCCGCCGCCGGTCCCTGCTGCCGGGGGGGCTAATGCACTGCGGGCGCTGGGGTGGGCGCTCGAGGCGAAGGGGGCGGCGGCGGCGGTGAGGAAGCGGGAGAAGCCATTGCAGTACACTGCATGTCCGAAGCGGATTCAGGGAGAGAGAGGAGTTTCGCATATTGAGGAGTCTCGAGCAGCGCAGCGTTTCATTAATACAGAGACTATTGTGGATCACAAGATAAAGATTATTTTTTGCACATGAGTTGGATAGACGTTTCTTCACGTTCTAGTGACGCGGAATATAGACTTGATGAAACTCTGAGATCGGACTTAACTGTTTTCGTTTACTATTAATAATAGTCCTCCGTACTCCAAGAGCTTACTATTTCGACATCTCTTCTCTACGAGATTTGGTTTAAGTTTGGTATTTAGCATAACTATTACTATCAAGCACAGCACCTGTAGAATATTCCAATTCACCTAGCTGTCGCAGTCTTATCTCTAGGACACGTCCTTTCTCCGGATGGGAGAAGAGCAAACCACACGCACGAGTATCACGCTGGACCACCTATTATTTGATACGCATACACAGGCTCAGGTATTCTTAGTGGGAGTTACCTTCCATATATAATAAAATCTCATTTAGTAAGAAATGAGTTTTACCTGTCTTAGGATCTATGAGTATATATGAGGAAACTTCTCGCGCTGTCTCAGAGGTCGGGTTAGTTACGTTTCGTATATTTTCCAATCTTATTGATTGCTAACTACAGTGCTGGGAACGTATTTAATTATATGCTTTGTTGTCAATGATTGTTCTCTAGACTGTAGCTTGTGAGGACTTCACGGAACATTATAAGTTTAAACATAAGTTTCGATCAGATATAGAATATATGAAAATTCCGGAGAGACAGAAATAGAGATACGAAGAATGGAAGCACACAGGCTAAGAATGTGTGATTGTGATTTGTATTAAAATGATCCAGGAGCGCGCTCACAGGTAATGAGGAGGACAGGAAAGGGGTAGACGAAAGGGTGACATTGGAATAAATGTCGTGTCCAAAGAGGAGTATGCTTGTGTAAATGGGATGGATTTAGGCAAACACATAATAACTGACGAAGGGTAAATTTGGAAGAGAAATTTGACAGCGTAATCTAGTCCGTCGTCTCTTAGATGCACGAGAGTTTGTCTTAGAAAGGGTTTGAAGCTCCAGTAGTAGGCTGTATCACGAAAAGGTGGTGCGAACAGGGGCGATTGCAGCCAGCGAGAAGCGGCGCGGATTCGCATCTGGGAACGGAGAAGGACTAGCAGCGACGATGACTAGGGCGAGAGCGAAAAGCGAGGAAGGGCGTGAGCGATGGCAGGAGCGAGGGAGAGCGACACGAGTCGAAGCAAAACGCAAGAGGTGGGCGAGGAAGCGCGAGGACGGGTAAGGCGAATAGTAGAACACAGGGGAGAGGGCGAACAAACGCTTAGTTAGGTGCAGAAGTAGGAGGGGCACAATGGGTGACGACGTGGCGAACACGTGAGAGAGGTTTACGGGGCCACGTGAAGGCGTATGAAATTGGCGAGGGCAAAGCCGACGAAGGGCGACAGCAAAGGGCGAAAGGGGGGGCGAGGAACAAGAGCAATAAGCGAGGGCGAGGGCAAGTGCGAGATGAAGGTGCGGATGAGGGAGAAAGTTAAATAAACGGAGAGAACTAAGAGCAAAAGCGAGGGCGAGAGAAAGAGTGAACAAGAGCTAAAGGGGGGGACAAGGACGAATGGCGACGGCGAGGACGAGAGCGAGGGCGAGAGCGAGAGCGAGAGCGAGGGCGAGAACTAGGGCAAGCGGGAGGCGAGGACAAGAGAAAAAAAGCGAGGATGAGGGCTAGGTAGAGGGGCGAGCAACGCGGATGGGAGAGAGCGAGGGTGAAGCTGAGAGCGAAGGCGAGGATGTGAGCGATGGGGGAAGTGCACGCAATCAGTACCACAACGGAAAGGCGGCAGCGGGGGCGGGCGAGGGCGTGGAAGTGGGTGAGGGCGTGGGCGTGGGCGAAGGGCGGGAGCGAGGATGACGCGGCTGCACGCTCGCCACCGCCTCGGGGCGCCGAGATAAATGGCCCCGTTGTTTTCGGCGCTCGCAGTATTCATAAGAATGTTGTCAAAGTACCTAATATTGATGTCGACTTCCGCAATCGATGGGCCACCACTGCAATGTTTTCGGCTCCGATTCGAGCGGTCGACCCGCGCGAGCGAGGAGGCGCAGGCGCGGCCGGACAGGCCTGGAGGATGAGTGGGGATGGGGGCCGGATGGAGCAACGGCCGGCCGAAAGGAAACGGAGTGGGAAGGAGCTGTGGGCCGGTGGATACAAACGAATGGACGAATGTAGAAAAGGAGAGGTAAGTATAGAAGGCTGCAGACGCGACATTGCGATGGTGGATCTTCGATTAAATGGAAGGAAAAGGACTAAAAGCAGGACGATGCAGACACGGGAATAACAGAATACAGGATGCGAGCTTACTGTAGGATTAAAATGGACCAGGAAACGTCGAAGAGGGACAAAAGGAACGCAGGAAAAAGGCGATGGGTAAGTTAAACGTGCACGAGGCGGAGGCAAGGAATGGGCAAACGCAATAATCGGCAAAGAGACGGGCGCTCTGGGCCTGGCAGCGGAGGGCTTCGAGGAAACGCGACAGAAGAAGCGTAGGCCCGCGTCCAACCCCTTCCCATCCCCCCTTATGCCTGTGCGATGGGCCGACGACTGAGGCGCACGCGTTCGCCCGCCCCAGGCGCACACCCCCTCTCCTCCTCCGGGCTCTCCTCCGCCCACGCAGGGCCGCTCGGGTGGCGGCGACCGGAAAACAGACCAATCACGCAAAAATGGACTGCGGGAGCGCGCGCTGGCGTCATAAACATATAGAGTCGGGTCGGCGGAGTCGAGTGTGCAGAGTCTTGGGATCTGGGGGGAGCGGTGGCGAAGAGAATTCTCGCCCTGTAGGCACCTCGGAGGGGCCCCGTTCCGAGAAAGACAGCGTTAATAGTCGCTCAGCGCCGGATCGCAGATTTGTCAGCGGCGTCGACCTTTTCCAGTTGTGCAGGGGAGTGGAAATGAAATTGGATGAAATATCTGAAGTGGGATGTAGAGAATATAACATGCAGACACAAATTTTTTAACTCTATAAGCTCGTATATTGCAGATGCATTATAGGCACTTTTATACATGGAATGGGCTAAAAATGAAAATAATAAATCAAGTAAGATCTCCTATCTGTTGCAAACTCCAAGAGCGAGAATGTGAATTCGGTAACTTAGGGAGCTTATTGAGGGTGAGCTAGCACAACAATAAAGTCTTTTAAACACGAAGTTTAGAATTACAGGGAAATGTTACATATCTTGTTTATTGGTAATGCTTATACTTCGAAAAATACTGACACAAAATTAAATGAGTAATTAAGGTTATAACATAACCAATTAGAGGGACGTACGTGTTTGCGAAATAAGCATCTACTTTAATAATGATTATTTAACTATCCCAATAGCGTGATTATGTAAATTTAACGTCACCAAAGTTACAAATAGGGTTATTATATTTGATAATCGATGGAGAGAGATGCATAAAGACGACAATAATTTATCCGAATACGTCAAATAACGTCAAATTATAACTTTAAACAATGCACATTTAAAATAGTATTTTCATTTACTTATTTTGAAGGTTTCCAAATATAAAGAGAACTTTCTACTACACTGCCAAGTTTGAGGGCAACTTTTTATGAAGTAATGCGATGACATTGAATAAATCGACTATATGGAAATCTCAAGTAAATGAACAATTATTCTCAAAGAAAGCAAAGTAACGAATAAATAGAAACAATATTTCAGAAATTCTTAGAAACTAATAATTTGGGTAGTTGTAATAAAGGAAAAAGGGTGACTGGACACTGCCAAGTGAGAAATAGGTCAGGTCACAGACGAAGATTTCAAAACGTTCTCCACAGGGAAAGACACTGGCCCATCGACTGACAAGAAAACGGCCGACCAAGGAATTCGAAGAATTCCTATACACATCATCGCGTGCACGATAGCTTGCGAGGAATGTCTCCGCAAGAATGTCTGGTCTATTTCTCCCACTGAAAAGATTCATCTGATCGTGCACAAGTGCACTTCCATAAAACATAAAGTAGTTTCCACTGCAGAAACACGAGATGCTTTGCTGGTTCACACTTCACGAACATCTAGTCCGACAGTATATTGTTCTTTGCGTTCTTTTTGTGAAGTAATCATCTTTCTTCTCAATATAGGAGGAGATGTTATCTTAGTTATTTTTCAGAACAATAAAAGCACTCAGAAAATTTCGGAGTGAAGGAATGAACGCACAAAAGTGATAAAGTGTGTTTTTATTGTATTTTCTTTTCTTAGGAACACGATTATTTTATTGGAATGTATTTAAATGCTGACGTTTTTCTATTAAAAACACCCCGCAATTTGATGAATCGTAAAATTCAGGATGACCAGTGATAGTAAATTCAAGGGTTGAATAATATTTTATGATATATTTATTAACACGTATCGACTTCGCATTTACAAAGAGAAGCAATTTGAACAATTATAAAAATATTTGTGAATATAGAATACAAACTGTGGTGCTACAAGAGCACATACGTTCTCGCACAATTTGTAGTTTTCTCTTATCATGACCCAAGAATACGAGTTTTTCTGTCAAAAAATCACCGATTTTCGTAACAGATTTACAATACTTTCCCTCCTCTATGTAAACGTAGAAATTCGAGTGAGTAAAAATGAGTGAATACACTTTCTTACTTTCAAAATATAATTTTATGAATTCTCTACGTCAGTATGTATCGATGTGAAAGGGAACAATGCGCCGAAGAGGCATTAACGTATGAAATAGTGAGCTTTCAATAACTAATAGAGTGAATTTCTTGAATATTTAAGATAAATCCTTATTCATACATGCATTTGCAATTCACTCTCCTAAAATTATCCTCGTGTTCACATGTTATACGATAACCCGTGTTGTACCCTTTTGTTACAAGTACATGAGATTTACTCATTTCTGTTTCAGACACAAGTTCCATTGATGTGTATACCCGCATTTCGAGGACGCGCTTATCTTCGGGCCGCAGCACCGGTGTGGTCTGCTGCTTGTTGACTTACCCCGACGAATGAGGAAAGTTGAGGATGGGAAGCGCTCGGATGCGATCGTCTCTAGTCTAGTGAAAGACGAGTGGCACGTGGGCCTCCACAACGGGCCACCGCGGGCAGACTGGTCCCACTCACGCAGCCCTGATCGAGGCCACAGAACATGGTTTCGTAATACTGTACTGTTATAATTCCGACTTCTCGCAACCGTCAGAGGAAATAAAATCCTCTCTTAACAGGCAGCGTACGTAGCTTATAAAAGTGTGCCATCCGTTATGAACAAGTGAAACAATAACTTGAATCAAAAGATGGTCACGCTAAAGATAAGTACCCTTAATCTAAGAAATGGTAATACTAGTTTCCATATTTTTTCTTATAAGAAGACTGCATAATGAAAAGTATTGAAGGTCACAAGACCAACACCACAAGTAATTGACATTTAATATATATTGTTTATACGCCTCATCCGATATAATGTTCACTGCTTTTTAAAGGTCGTTTTTTAACAACTTGGTCATATAGCGATTCCGGTGACTGCTTTAACAACGAAACGAACAACACGAAAACACTCTAATATACATGCCTTAGGCGGGATTAGAACCCGCGACCCGTTAAACAGAGGCAGCTTCAGCCCTTCAGTCTTAGCGACCTCGTCTATCCAGGCCGGCCGTTTACTGAATATCGGTCTCAAGACGTTAACAATGACTATTCCACTCGTGAAATTAAAACCAGCAGTGTGTAACTATAGGTTCAAAATGACCCAATCAGAGCGATGAATTTAAAAATTGTATCACTTTTTCCATCCGATTTTTCTCACCGCTTCTGCCAACCATAAACTGGCCAATCATAAACTGTGACTCATTTTTCAGGAGGCGGTATACATCAATCGCTATGTCGATGTCCAATAAACGTTCGTTCGATAATATAATATGCGAATGTTCTATAACATAACCTCTAATTTCAACATGCGCATTCAGTTATTTTCAATATTTGGCGCATTTTGAAACTCTGTGGGGCATAATTTCACTCGTGGAATATTCTATTACACACCACTCGTGCTTTGGAAATTCTCAGATAAATTCCAAAGCACTCCACGTAATACCTACGATAAAGTCGCGTGCCTTACCTGAGAGCTCCATGTGCTTCTTGGCACGGCCGAGGCTGTTGTCGGCGACGCAGCTGTAGTTGCCGAAGTCGGCGCCTTGCACGTCGCGCACGGTGAGCGCGTGGCGGCTGCCGCGGCTCTCCACCAGGCGGCGCGGCGACGGCTCCACCGCCAGCTCGTCCTTGTACCACATCAGCTGCGCAAGCACACGCACACGCGCGGGAAGCGTCACTCGCGGCGGAAGACGAATCCCTTCGCCATTGGCTTTACTACGCTCATTCATTCCGTGAGTGTAGTGGAAGTCTTTATCGCGGGAGGTGGCGGTCGTTCCTCCTCCGCTGCGAGCAAGAGGTGTCTCAGGGCATCAACTGATGTCACAGCAGTGCCTCTGACTGGGACGTCCTAGGTTGCCAGGTAGCAACGTCGAGTTCAGTCTCTGACTGGAGGACAATTATAGCGGCCTGATCAGTGGTTTTCCGTGGTTTCGTCAATCAATACCAGGTGAATGCCGGAGCACGATCATAAGAAATAGGCCATAGACCGCGCGCGATCTTTCCTTCCCCGTCTTTGCTCTACCCTCACCTCTTGCTTACACACACTTACATGAACTGCACTACAACACGCCCCGGGAGAATGGTTGGGAACTTAGAGCTTGTCCCGACTGGGGTGGTGGGAGATCCCCGCTAGTGGGAGATACAAGATTTAGGAAAACCCCGCTAGCCGACGGAAAGTCGGCGCCGAATCTCAACGTCCAGCGAGGGAAGATATCTGATATTTGCCTCCTTCCGAGGAAAAAGAACATGCCCTACACTTGCGGTACTAATGACCTTAGTAGTTGACGCGCTCGAAATCATTAATCGATCAAGCCTACGCCCGAACTTTGTACAAATCTGCCGCCGACTAACAGGTCAGCTTGAAAAAGTTTCGCTCCTTCAGGTATCACCGTCAGCCGGGCACCACTTCCACGAGGTAAATTGTAAGGTCGCGACTGTGGCCCGTCATCAACGGAAGTGTAGTGCATGTAAGTATGCGTATGTGCAAGATGAGAAGAGAAAACGAGAACGGGAAGTGAAAAAGTACGTGCAGCACATAGCCCATTTGTTAGGGTACTGCTCGGGCATTTGCCTGAGCCGCCGGCTGCTAGAATTATCAGCCAGAGACTGGCTGAATTCGATATATCTGTCTTGTGCCAAAAATTCGGCCATCATCAGGATTCGAACCTCAGAACATTCCGGTCAGAGACCCTGCAATGACAGTTGCTGCTTTGAACCATCTTTGCCGGTTTGAATACTGTAGAGAGATATGTTTTGCAGTTTCAACTCTCACGCTAACCAATTTTACCAAGTTATGACTCAAAAGAATGAAAATTTCATGGCGGGAATTGTCTATTCACATTACGAATAATAATAATAATAATAATAATACTATTAATACTACTACTATTACTACTACTACTACTACTACTACTACTACTACTACTAATAATAATAATAATAATAACAATAATAATAATATAATTTAATGAATAAAAGCGTATTTTTAGACTAGTACAAATACAAGTTAGCAACGCCTAACGCTCCCAATCGTCTGCTTTATTCATCGATCAAAAAATGTAACTCCGAGGACCTTAAAACCTGCTTTAGGAGGACTCTCAATTAATAATCTTTTCGCAGTAATCTAAAAAACTGGATCTTTCGTGGTGACATTTTGGTGTTTTCGGCACTTCTCGTCAAACCTCTGTGATGTGTGGAGCGCATTAGTAAGAAATCAGAGACATACAGTGTGGATAGATACAGTGTTTTGGATTGTCTTAAAATACGTTTGGCTAACATATTTTCCCTTCCCATGCTTGTAGGGGAAAGGAGTAATCGTTTTCCCATATGCGAGAGTTTACGCACAGGTCCTGCACTGAAAAGTTCTATTTGAGAGTATTTGTTTCAGGCACGCTTTTAGTACATTCGTGATTGACATGAAGTCTTTAAAATGGGCAAGTAAAGGAAAAGGGTTTGTTTGGTAAAATTGCGTTATAAAGACACACGTATCAAATGGTGTTTATGAAAAAGATTACTTTATCTTTTCAATTGTTACACCTCTTTTCGGTATCCTTGTGTGAAAAATTACACGAGTGTGGGACTCGCAAAGATGACACAGTAGACATGTCAGGCTTAATACAATCGGAGCTGCATTTAGCCTCATATGCACAGAAAACGTGTAACAGGAGTATCGCGCATATTATTTACAACTGCTTCCGTTCGTTTTGAGGATACATCACTGACCCTTAGCAACTCTGGTGAGATTCACTTAGGCCTAAGCTCTGGCGGCGTTCTCAGGTGCTCCAAAAATTATATCACTATTTATCTCAATGAAAAAAGTTATTTCAAATTTTGTTCTTCAAATCTGTTTACAGTATTTATAATAATAAGACAAAAATATATTACAAACAATTATTACGAATTGAATTGCTGTGATCTGGCATATATGTTTACGTCACTTTTCGCCAGCTATCTTGCTATGCTTTCCTGGTTGGTTTTGACTCAGAGGATGTTGAAGGAAGGAAAGTTTTCTTTGTGATTGACCGGCAACACAAACCATAACACTCAAAATACACACAAAAAATCAATGAAGGGAATGAAAAAACTTACGTTAAAAATACGGTGAAGCATTCTGAGACCTTTTTCTCTATCTTTCCAAAACCAAACCTCAAATTACTTTGCACAACCAGCCAAAATATATAACATAATGCCACTGAAGAATACTGGCTACATGAGCGATATCTAGTGATTGCTTTCCAAAATATAATGACATATACATCGGCCGGGGGACCACAGGACCCCACCAGAGTAGTAAATGGTGAATAATGAAGAGGAGCGAGTTTACCACAGAAAGTTCTCCTCCTGTCTTCTCACACTCTGATTCATAAGCCCATTTATTGATTTCTCATTCCTCCGTAACATTCCACGTATCATTGATTTTAGTTCCAGTTATAGTGTTTACGTTACACTTTCTCAGATTAGAATTAGAACACTTTGCACTGAAGTACAGAGCACATCTTTTTCGATCAGTTTCACTCTCTTTGTCATTAACTCTTGAATACTCTGGCGAAGAATAGCATCACAATATAGCTCCGTGATTATGAAGCAGTGTTATAATAATTTATTTTCTTTTGTGATAAAACTTGGACATTATATAGGCATTGTCTAAAGTGCAAATTTTGGTCAATATTAATTAATCTTTACCAATGTAGCAAAGACTATTATTTGAGAAAAAGAATAATTAAATAAACTCTTATTTGATTTGTCATTTACAAAGTTTCTAACTTTTGAGGTTAAAACTAACAGAGAAAAGAATGGTAGTGTACAATTACATTTAAGCTTTCATGCTTTAGATTATTTCATTATTGACTATATGTTTCTCTTCTAGAATTTTTTTGTTATACTGAGGCATAAAAATGTAAGCTTTGTAACAATATGTATTCTATTCAATATGCATATCTTTTGTTCATTTGCGTTAATGTTTCCCATTATTCAACAACTTCCCAACAATATTTTCGCGGATTATTTTCTATCGTCACTCAGCCACTCCATAACTTCAAACTTTCTTTTAAAAACTTTTCGAAACTTCGGGTTTTTCACCTTTCTTCCATTCGTTGTACTTACTACAAGAAATAAATTTTTAATCGACCTTCTAATGTCTATTCCTTGAATTCAACTCCATCGTTGAAAAATTTATCATAATAATTACAAAATGATAAATATATATATATATATATATTATATATATATATATAATATAATATATATTATATATATATATATATAAGAGAATATGTGGCAAGCCAACAAATTAAGTTTGCTTTTTTGGAGATTCAAAATGCAATTATCAAAACTGCTTGTCGAATGCACTAAAAATAAACCATTAGCACAATGACACATTTGAATGGATGCAACTAAGAATGCACTTTGAATGTCCTAGAAGTACATAGTCTTTAAATTGTGAACATTCTCATACAATACCTTACAATCACAACGTTAACACAAAGGAGAGACCTCGTGCGCTGAAGACCTTTGGTGTATAATATTCTCTCCAAGTTTCATCTGCATTGCCAAATTGAGCAAACGTTTCCCCCAAAAGGGGAATATGCTACTCGTGAGAAAGAAATTGAGAAAACAATACCTCGTGGAAACATTCAGGGAAATATTTAGTAAAGACCAAAAAACGTATGTTCTCACGAAAAATTATTTCAAAAATATGTTCATTAATAAATTTTAATCATACTGCATTAAATTAAAATATACTATTTTACATTTTCAGTATTGAATTTATAATAAAATGTATTTATTCAGAACGAAAATACTTTGGTCAAAATAGCATTAAAGTGATAATTGAGAAATATATATTTTTAATTTACTTACTAAAATGCCTTTGGGGGAGGGGGGAAATTGTGCATAACAGACAGAGGAAGTTAATCTAATACTCTCTTAAAACACTGCGCTACATTGTAATGACAGAAAATGGACTGTATGAGCCGCTCTGAATCACGCAGCCCCCACCCGCACCCCGTTCTCCACTGCTCCGTTATCGTCGGGCGGCCGAGTGCCCGTCCGACCTCGTGCTTCACCCGGATTCCCACTTCCCCAATTCCCTCCTCGCCCCCCTCGCCTCTCCCGCCCCCGGCGCATGTCGCCCTCGTCCCAAAAGCGGAGTCGGCCGCATTCCTCCGCGCGCGCGGAATTCACGAGGAAAGATTTTATTATTGGAAATTGGGCCGGAATTAAATATTTGTCCCACAAAGGAAAACGAGGAAAAATAATTCTAGCCCTTACAAATCTCTGGAATCCCTATGCCGATATTTCAATTAATTTAATGCCTTCCCGCAGAATACCACCGCTAAAATACGTCCATTTTTATGTTTTTTTTTTCGGCGACGATATACGAGAACTTGCCATATGAGGCTTCCTTTATGTCCTTAGTGCGGTCGACCAATTGGGGGGGGAGGGCGACTGGAGGGTTCACCGTTTGCAACACATGCAATCAGGAACGAAATGCAATTACATCATGCGCAAATACGGAGAATATCAAAGGAGGCAGTCACCTTAATGATTGAAGGCGTTTTTGGACATTTTAAAAATATTTATGAGTGGAAATTGAAAATTTTATCCGTACTTTTTTTCTTGAATTTGATGTGTATAGTAAATT